GCTCCCTGCATGGAGCCTGCTTCTCCCTCTGCCTGTGTCTCTGCCTCTCTCTGTGTGTCTCTCATGAATGAATAAATAAAATCTTAAAAAAAAAGGCACAAATTTGTAGTTATAAATAAGTCCTGGGGATGTCATGTAAGCATCGTAATTGTAGTTAACAATACCATATTGTATATTTGAAAGTTCCTATGAAAATCAATCTTAAAAGTTCTCATCATACGGAAAATGTTTTGTAACTATGTGTGCTGATGGAGGTTAATGAAACTTATTACAGTGATCATTTTGCAATATATACACATATCAAATCATTGTCATGCACCTAAAGCATGTAAGAATACCATCTCATGTGTCAATTACAGCTCAATTAAAAATTAAATAAGTAAAATAAAATGCAGTTTCTCTGTTATACCAGCCATATTGCAACTTCTCAACAGCCCCCTGTGGCTCATGGCTACTGGAATAGATGGGGCACATTAGTATTATCACAGAAAGTTCTATGGGGCAGCGCTGGCTTAGACCACCATGGGGTATCACAGAGATACTTCGCTGGGGTAATCGTACATTCATTCACTCATTCATTCATAAACAATTTAACAAGCAGTATTTCTGTGTATGAATTATACGCCCAGACGCCCGTCCTGCCTCACCCACTGCTGTGACCAGCCTGGGGGTGGCATCTGTGTGGTCACATTGTGGGTGAAGATGTTGATAGGTGCCTGTTTTTAGTAAAGGGCGCCACCAGGTAGAAGATAACTAATAGGCTCATTCTGAAGAAAAACACAGACCATGGGGAGCTGCTGAAAGCCCACTTCTTGGATGGGTTACTATATACTATAGTAAGGAGACTATTGGCTCCTTCCTCCCAACAGATGCAGCTCTGCAGAAGTGGTGCTGAAAAAAAAAAAAAAAGAGAAAAAGCAAAATCCCTCACGTCCTCCTCCCAGCTGTGTCCCTTGCAAGTCACTAGCTGGGCAAGTCACGTCATCCGAGGATTACCAAAAAATGTGGCAGACGTATTATCACATCCTCCCCCTGAGCCTGAGGCAGACATCACTGATCCATCACACACCCTTCTCTTTATGAACCAGAAGGAAGGTTCCAGATCCTTCACAAGATGGCACTCCAGGCAGCCATTTCCAAGCAGGGCTGGCAAAAGAGACGCACTACCTCTGCCCCCAAGGAGCTCACTATTCTAAGCCCTAGCGTCCACATCAAAAGGTAGAGACCAACACCACCTTGCAGGATTCTTGGGGGTTAACTGAAATGATTACTTTGCTATTTGTTCACGCATCAAATGGTGACTGGGAGCCTACTAGGTGCCTCGTGCCTACCTGATGGACGCAGCCCTGGATAAAAGGCAGCTGTGACAAGTACAGGAATCTGCGTACTGCCTTCAGTTTGCCTGCTTGGACGGATTCTAGCCTTTGTCCCCACTTCCCCTTGGGCCAGCCCACACTCCCCAAATCACCTAATGAGGGGGAAGGGAGCCCAGAAAAGTTGGCCTCAGGACTTCACAGGCAGCATATTTTCCAATAAAAGAGACTTCCCTTTTTCTAGCACCTTCTTCTCTTATGTTCTAAATAAGCCTTGGTTGGATTAGCTCCCCCCCCATTTAACTTTTCTCCCTTGGATTCCCATACACAAAACACTGTATTAACAAGCCGTGTCTACCGGGCTGAGCTATATTTCCTATAAACTCTCATTTTATCTCCTCTAAAACACACAGTAATAGCATTCTCTGGAGAATATTAAATCAAACCAACCTGCAGCTGCATTTGTTTGCGCTTTCTGCCCCCGGTAAATTCTGGCAACAGATGGGCGTGCGTTACATAAGTGGCGCCCCTGCAGTCCTCCGCACTCTGTTCCGCCTGTAGAAATACCTCTGGACTCTGATCGCCGCAGCTGAGGCTCCCCAAAGCACCCCCAAATGACACCCTGATGTCCTGCTCCTCTTTTTTATTCTTAGCACACAGGGAAGGCTGAGTGCAGGTTCAAGAAGAAAGGTGGGCCTAGCCAAAAGGGATGAAGCTTATCTGCTTTGTAATCCAGTACATAAAATCCGCTTTTCTTGGCCTGAGACATATATTCAATGACAGGGCTGAGCTACAGGGCACAGGCTTGGGCAGCAGGCACTGTTCCATTACTCATTCCAGAAGATGCTGACGACCACCTGCCAGGAAATGCCCAGCTGACTAGGGAATGAGAGAGCACAGCCCTACCTGCAGGCAGTGCCACACAGGGGTGAGGTCCTGGAGGAGTCCTGGGGAGCTGGGAGGGTGGCTGGCAGAGGGAGAATCTGCAGGAAGAAGTATGGGATGGGGGGAGGAAGGAGGGAGGAGGAGCCGACGCCCCTGGATTTGATCCCCAGCTCTGCCTTTAACCTTGAGTATGAGCCTATGTAAATGCTGTAAACTCCAATTCTCCATGTCTCATCTGGATATCAAAAAGCGTATGACAAACTGCTTGTAGGTTCTCAGGGAATGAACTCATTCCTTTACTTGATAACCATGTGTTTCTACTTTGAATGGCATGGAGGTAGAGACAACTCAGGCCCTGCTTCCAGGGCCCCACTGTGGTATGGGGGCAGCAGGTATCTATCCTAGTACAGGGGTGATGGAACATATTCATGAGGTGCACAAGTGGTGTAAAGGTCAGGGGTTAGGACTGGCTTCCTGGAGAAAGCGATGCCTGGTTTTCCAGAAACTTGCAGGGGAGGCAGGCACCTGGCACGGTGCCAGATGGGAGGGGCTGGGGCACCTGGAGCTGAGCCAGATGGGAGGGGCCAGGGGACCTGGAGCTGAGGCAGATGGGAGGGGCCGGGGCACCTGGAGCTGAGCCAGATGGGAAGGGCCAGGGCACCTGGAGCTGAGGCAGATGGGAGGGGCCAGAGCACCTGGAGCTGAGCCAGATGGAAGGAACCAGGGCACCTGGAGCTGAGGCAGATGGGAGGGGCCAGGGCATCAGCTGAGGCAGATGGGAGGGGCCAGGACCTACAGGTGTAATTCCCCTCCCCTAGCATGGTGGAGAGGCCCAGCAGCTGGCACTCCAAGAATGTGGCCAGAGTGAGGGATGGGGGCCTATGCGAGGGAGACACAGGGCCTGGCACACAGAGATTACGGAGCCCTGATGTCACACTCAGGCGTTTGACCTGGATCCTCCATCTCCAAGGGAGCTTCAGAGGGTTTGAAGCAGCAGAGAATCATGATCAGACCTCCCAGTAGCTATTGGAGACAGACTAGGAGGCCTGGACCTAAGTACAGAGAGGGCAGTTCAGTGGCTGCACTCTTGCACACCTCTGCCTTTGCATATGTAAGGCCCTCCTCCTGGGATATGCTTTCTCCTTTTCTGCCTCGACTCTGTGCCACTGTCTCTTTCCACTCCAGCTCAGGTGTGTGCTCCTTCCAGCACCTTCCCAGACTCTATCTGTGCCCCAGGGGCTACAGTTTAAACAGGTCAACTCCAGCCCTAAGATGAGTTTGCTTTGGACTGTATGGTGGCTTCAAAAGAATTTAAATTAGCTGTCGACATTTACAAACCAGAAAGGCTCCTACCAAATTCCAGATTCCCAGGTCCCTGGGGAATGTTCAGAAGATCTAGCAGCACTGGTTGGCATTCATACATAGCAACCATTAGCTGAAGCTGAGAAGTGGCTTTCTCTTTACTGAAGCATGTGCTTACCAGTATGCCACACTCCCTATCATGCCCTACTGTCTCTCTTGACAACACTGAAGCTGAAGACTAGTTGCCCTTGCTCATCTCCCTTGTATTACTGCTTCCTTGAGAACAAACTGGAAGGGAAAGTAGAACAATTCTTGTACCCATGTCTATCATATGAGGGGAAACAAGATAGGCTGGGGGTTCCTGCCTTTCCTCACCCACTGAGTTCCCTGATGAGTTCCTGGGGCTTCTATTTTAAATTCCTGGCACCCTGCAGTCACCTCTACAAAGGCTTTCAGCACATGACATCATAGTTTTACATTTACTTGTCTGCCGGCTTTCAGACAAGGAGTACCTCAAAGGTGGGGACTGTGTCTTTTATATTAATGTCCTTCAAATTGATCAGGGAAGGCTGATGACACATGTGCTCCACAATAAGTGTTGAATGAAGGAATAAATGCAAATGAGAACATGAAAAAACAGCCCAGAGTAGAAAGAAAGGTTAAGTGGTCAGGTGTAGGAGGGGGTGTGGGGGTAGAAAGGAGGGCAGGGATTCTGAAATAGGGGGGACAGAAGAACACAGAGGTTAAGAGCCTGGCTGTTCAGAGTGGGGTCCCCACACCAGGAACACTGGCACACCTGGATGCAGAATCTCGGGCCCTGCCTAGACCTGCTGAATTAGAATCCTCATTTTAGCAAGATCCCCAGTAAATTTTGAGATGCGTTGGTTAAGTGAATGAGCCAAGAGTCTGACTGCATGGGTTCACATTCTCACTGTGACACTTACTGGTTGTGCGACTTGGGGCATATTATATAACCTCTCTGTGATTCTGCTTCCTTATCTATTAAAATTGAGCCCCAGGGGTGCCTGAGTGGCTCAGTCAGTTAGCGTCTGTCTTCAGCTCAGGTCATGATCTCAGGGTCCTGGGAGGGAGTCCTGCATCACAGGGCTCCCTGTTCAGCAGGGAGTCTCTTCTCCCCCCCCCCCCCCCCCGCCTCTGCTCTTGCTCCTCTCTCTCTCTCCTTCACTCACACACTCTCTCTCATATAAATAAAAAAAATCTTTAAAAATAAATAAATAAAACTGAGCTCCAGTTCCTATTTGTCCAGTTCTCCCAAAGGGTGGCCTGATTTCACTTCCTAAAGCTTCAAGCTGAATCTCTGCTCTTGATGGCTCCAACCATTCAGCATGAAATGTCCCACCAGGCACTTCCTACACCCAGCAGGAACGTCAACAGGGCCTCCGAGTACCCATCTTGCAACTTCAGCAATCAGATTATTGGACAGCGCTAAGTCCTACCATTACTCAAACTGTCCAGCAAGGAGTCGGGGCCCTTACTTACGCCATCAGCCGTCCAGTAGTTCCAAACCTTGATCTTGCCTAGACCAAAGTCCTGCAGCCGCCTGGTGTTGCGGATGACAAAAAAGAGCTGGAGCGGCGGGTGGAAGGGGCACGTCCACAAGGAGGTGTCTTTCTTGCTCTGAAACACCAGCAAGAGAGGGGGGAGTCGTTAGTCTATTTTCTGCCTCTTCCCAAAGTAATCGGACTGAGGGCAGGAGGCCAGGCCTCCCTTGTCTACATAATCCAAGGTGGGCTCTTAGACCTCACCCGTCCATCCGGACCGCACTTTGTGGTTGGTCCCTGGCACAAAGCAGCCACGTGGACCTCTCTGCTTTGCCAGGCCAACTGAATTTAAATGCGGCGGGCTTTATTTTGATTAATTTAATCAGCTCTGGGGAGAGCGCTAGGGGTGGGGACAGACAGAGAGTGGAGGGTGGGATAAGAGTGTCACTTGTGCTATTTTATTAACCCAGCAAGCAGAGTCTGGTTTTTTGTTTTTGTTTTTTTTTGTAAAACCCTGTGGAATTTTAAAAATGTAAAAAAGAAAGAAAGAAAGAAAAGAAAAGAAAAGAAAAGAAAAGAAAAGAAAAGAAAAGAAAAGGGCGTAGGCGTTGGGACTGTGGGACTGAGCTTCAGGATTTGCTCTGCTCCCCGGCAGGGCTTCCAAGCCTCCCAGGGTGTGGTTCCTGCCCACTGGCAAGGCCACTGGCTCTCAAGGCCAGGGGGGCAGAGTTGCAGGGAAGCTCCACAGTCATGGCCACTTTCACCAGCAAAATTCCATGTCAGGGGTGTGTTAGATGCAGGTGGAAAAAGCCAAGTCCAGGCACTTTTCTCAACTCCAGCTGCCTCCTGTTTTGTCCTTCGGATGCCTCTTCTAACGCTCTGTCCAGACAAAACTCACAGCTACAGCTGAACATCTCCCCACAGGCTTGGCCTCAGGGCCTTTGCACAGGCTGGGCTTCTCCTTGCAATACGCTTCCAGCCTCTCCCACCCAGGAAAATGCAGCACAAACGTGCTGTCACCCCCACTGCCACTCCTTCCCTGACACCATCACCCTGGCCTCCAGCCGCCCACAGCTCCCTTGTAGGACCTCAGTGTCTTGTAACTACCTGTTTTCTAGTCCAGGTCACCCTTCCACATGCTCAGCTGTGAGCTCCTGAAGGGAACTGGCTGTGTCTAATTCACTCCGGAACCTTTAGCATTCAGCCCAGTTCCTTGGCACACAGTAGATGCCACGGAATCTTTGTTGACTGAACAAATGAAGGAATGAATGGCCAGTTGAAATTTACCTCCTCATAGCTGTCCCTTCACTGAAACTTTGGAGAAGTGGCTGTACACTGATCTAGCCTGGAGGGCGATTTTGTTTGGCTCATGAAGTATTAAAAAAAACATCATGGCCAACATTTAACAAGGGGGAGATTTCCCCACCCCCTCCAGAGCTAGAGTTCTGCTCGTGTGTAGACAACACGGCCACACAGGGCCCCTGATGGATGCTGGCTGGAGCCGAGGGCGCCGCTCCCAGGCCCAGGGCGCGGGCTCTCTGGTGCCCCAGTCCCTACTGCTCCCTACTGTTTTACACCCACTTTACTTCCCAGGATATGCCTCTGGCTGGCCCCTGCACATGTCTGAGTCTAGGGTTCCTGCTTAGGGGCTGACAGTGGCAGCAACAGAACCACAGCATCTCTGACACTGACTAGAGCTGTCCCTTTTACCTAAATGAGCCGTCACTGTGTATTTGAGGAGGTCTCAAGAGACCCCTGTCACCGGGACCATGCCGGCTACTTGACAGAGCCAGGGAAGGAGGAGACTGGCTGACTCTGGGGTTTTGCTGGCCCCCCAGGAGATGCAAGAGGCCCAGGCTCCAGCTGCGGGGGAGAACAAAGAGGGCTTGTTCCAGGGACAATGGTGCCTTTCAGGAGGGAGGAGGTTGCTTTTGTCCAGAGAGAGAGAGGAGTTCAAGGGGTTCTGACTTATTCTGGCCAAGTTTCTCAAGCTCTGCAAGAACTTCTAGTGCTCTGGGCAGCTGCAAGGGGTCAGGATACCACAGCTCAAAATCCAGTGGGTGCCCCTCATTTCTTGCCCAAGTCGGGGCCCGAACTGGGTCACTGTGGCTGCCTGACAAAGGAAGAGTCTGAAGGCTGACCCTCAGATGCCGGCAAGGGGACCATAATTGATTTCCTGTCACTTTTCTGTCCACAGGAGGGATAACAGGAAGATTAAGTGGGCATCATGGTATTCAAAGTCAAAGAACATTCACCTGCGGGTAATGCAGGGCCTCATTAGTGGCCGGAGTCTCTAAGAAAAAGGCTGCCAGGAAGGCGCCGGGGGCTGACCAAGGCGCCCTGGGTGCCAGGCCAGCAGGCGGAGCGTCTGCTGCACCTGCCCGTCGCAATGATGGCAGAACAGGAATCAGGGCACCTTCATGCTGGCACCGTGGCCTCCCTGGGTCCTCTCATAGCCCTGGGAGGGGGCTAGTACTGGAACCCGTGTCATGGAAGGAAGACCAGAGCTCAGTAAGGGAGCAAGGGGTGCGGTCTGCCTAAGTAGTGGAGTCCTGATTTACAACCATTTTTGTTCATTAATTCATTCTATCTTAGTGTGTACCCCCGCCCCCCAGAAGCAGACCCCAAGGCAAGGATTTGAGGATCAGAAGGTTATTTATACACCAAAGGAAACACCAGTTGGAGTGTGGAGAGGTCAGAGGAGGAAAGGCCTTCAATAAAGAGTGTGTCACCAGGCTAGCCACTCCTGCGGCAGCTGGAGCTCAGTGCCACCAGGGAATCTTGGGAGCCAGAGCAGAAGATGCCTCAGAGCAGCTCCACCCTCGGGACAAGGGAGCTGGGGTATTCATACCCCAATTCCCACCAGCGTAGGTTGAGGGCAGTTCCTGGGGGCCCAATTCCCCACCAGTCTGGGCCTGCTGCCTGGGAAACAAAGTGGGCCCTGGAGGCCAGAAAGACAATCCTCCATCAGAGAAATATCAGCCAGCACACACAGACGAGGGCAGGGCCGGGGGCTGGGGAGGCACAACACCATCTGTCACCCACTTGCCAAATACAAACACCCTCCTGTGGGGCAGGCGCCGAGCCCCATGCAGGGGTGGGCAGTGGAGCCTGGCCCACCAGGTCCCAGCTCTGCGTGAGCTGGGGAAGCAAACAAGTAATACTGCCAAGAAAAAACATCAGTCAGGCAAGGATAAATTGGACACGGAAAATAAGAGAGAATTATTAATGGCCAGTGGAGGGGCATTTTTAGAACGGATGGTCAGGGGAGGCCTCTTGCAGGAGGTCCCTCTCTAACTCCTAACAAAGATGCTCTCCTCTCCCGGAATTAACCTGACACAGATCCACTCCCTCAGGCAGATGCTGGATTGCCCTCAGAAGTAGCCCCAATTTAATAAATTACCGCAATCAAAAGCAACAAGCTATTGATACACACAACAATTTGGACGGATGTCAAGGGCATTCGGAGTGGAAAAAGCCAGTCTCTGAAAGGTTACATGCAGTAGGATTCCATTTATACGGCATTCTTGAAGTGACACAAAGTTTGGAGAAAAGATCAGTGGTTGCCAATGTTAGGGAGGGGATGGGGAGGCGTGGCTATAAAGGGCTACGTGAGGGAATCTTTTTGCGGTGATGGAACTGTTGCTGTGTATCTTGATGTGGTGGTGGCTACATGAATCTACGTGTGATAAAATTGCATAGAACTCATACGCACACACACACATACACGAATGCGTGTATGAAGCTCTGCACATTATACTAATGTCAGTTTCCTGGTTTTGATAATATACTACAGTTACGTAAGATGTCAGTGATGGGGGAAGCTGGGCAAGGACACATGGCACCTCTCGATGCTTTTTTGTAGAACCTGAGATATAATTCACACATATAAAATCACTACTTTTAAGTATGCAATTCAGTGTTGTTGTTTAGTATATTCCAAGGCTGTGCAATCCTCACCACTATCTTTTTCCAGCATATTTCTTTTACCATCCTAACAGGAACCCCCTAGGGCAGCCCTGGTGGCCCAGCGGTTTAGCACCACCTTCAGCCCAGGTGTGACCCTGGAGACCCGGGATGGAGTCCCACATCAGGCTCCCTGCATGGAGCCTGCTTCTCCCTCTGCCTGCGTCTCTCTCTCTCTCTCTCTCTCTCTCTCTCTGTCTCTCATGAATAAATAAATAAAATCTAAAAAAAAAAAAAAAAAAAAAAAAAGGAACCCCCTACCTTTTAGCAGTCCTTCTCCGTTCCTGCCGTCCCCAGTCTCTGGCAACCACTAATCTACTTCCTGGTTCCATGAATTGCCTGTTCTAGACACTGCATGTGAATGGAATCATACAATATGTGGTCTTCTATGTCTGACTTCTTTCACGTAGCATCACGTTTCCAAGGTTCACCGATGTTATGGATTTTTTAAAAGATTTTATTTATTTATTTGACAGAGGTGGGGAGAGAGAGAGAGAGAGAGAGAGAGAGAGAGAACGAGCAAACGTGCACAAGCAGAGGGAGCAGTAGAGAGAGGGAGAGCCCTCAGCAGGGTACCTGATACAGGGCTCTATCCCAAGACCCTGGGCTCATGACCTGAGCTGAAGGCAGATGCTTAACTGACTGAGCCACCCAGGTACCCCAGTTCATCCACATTGTAGCAGGTGTCAGAACTTTGTTCTTCTTCATAGCTGAGTAATATTCCATTGCATGGCTACACCACATTTTCTTTATCCATTTATCAGTAGATAGACATTTGGGTTGCTGCCACCTAATGGCTACTATGAATGATACTGTGTATAAGTATTTGTGGGAACATGTTTTCAATTCCCTTGGGTCAGTACCCAGAAGTGGAATTGCTACATCAAGAGTAACTCTACATTTAACTTTTTGAGACACAGCATTTAACTTTTTGAGACACAGCCACACTATTTTCCACAATGGCTGCACCATTTGACTTTTCCGTTCCCACCAGGAAGGTATGATTTTTCCACGATTGCCAATACTGTCATTTATTTCTTTTCTTTTCAAAAGTTATAACCATCTTGGTGGATGTGAAATGATATCTCTTTGTGGTTTTGATTTGCATTTCCCTGACGACTAATGATGTTGAGCTTTTCATGTGCTTCTTGGCCATGTATGTCTTCTTTG